CAAACTCTGACTCCATAGTCGATCTAGCAATGATCGTCTGTTTAGCTGATTTCCACGATATTGCACCACCACCAAAGGTGAGCACATACCCACTAACGAATTTTGTCTCATCTGAATCAGAGATTCAATTTTAATCACAATACTCTTCTAATGTAGAAGGAAATCCACTATACAGGATAGCATAATTCATAGTTCCTCCCAAATATTTGATCAATCTAATTAGTGTAGACCAATGCTCTTTATTGGGATTATGAGTATATCTACTTAGTTTTCATACATCATAGACTACATCATGCCTAATAAAATTCATAAAAAGCATTAAATTCCCAATAATATGAGCATATTTAGATTGAGCAACCGGGTCATCAAAATTCTTTTTCAATTCAGAGTTAGCATCATAAGTAGGGGTAGCAAAAATGAACCAAAACATAGGTAACCCGCCCAGCCCGTCCAGAATTTCAAGATAATTTCTATTGGGTTCAATCTCAACTCATTCAAGCTCAACCCATTTGAAGATAATTCTCAATTGAGCCCAATTCAATCTTCAATTTCAACCCGTTTAAATTTTTTATTAAGATATGTTCATATATTGAAGGTATGAATTATTATCTGTTCAACATCTTTTAGGATTTATCTATTCATTTCTTACTTTTTTAATAAAAATATCTTGAACAGAAATTTAAATTGTGATTATAAAAGTTAAGTATCAATATGTTAAATTATTAAGATTAATCGGGTCAAATTGGTCGGGTCAAGAGTCAAGACCCAACTCTTTTTTAGCCCATTTGAGCCCAAAGTAACTTACGGGTCAAGACCTAACCCGATTTCTATTCAACTCATTTTAATATTTCTAATTTCAACCCAACCCGCCCATTTGACACCCCTAATCATAAGGTTACATGAGTCATTTCAAAACATTCAAACTTTTTAAGAAGTCTCTCCACATATTGTTTTTGTGACAACTAACTTCACTCCTTATAACTTTAACTCCCAATATCATATTCACTTCACCCAGTTCTTTCATATTAAAATCAGTAGACAAGGATTGTTTGGTACTTTTCTCAATATTTAAACTTGTACCAAATATAAGCATGTCATCAACGTATAAGCATATATGACATAATCATTGTCTATCACTTTAGTATAAACATATTTATCCACTTTATCAAAAGAAAAACCATTTCTTATTAAGAATTGATCAAGTTTTCCATGCCACTGCTTCGGAGCTTGTTTAAGGTCATAAAGAGATTTCATTAATTTACAAACTCTGTCTTATTGCCAGGGGATAATATATCCCTCAAGTTGAACCACATAAACTTATTCATCTAAACCACCATTTGAAAAAAACTGTTTTGACATCCATTTGATGAATAAAAAGTTTGTGAATAGAGGCTAAGTCAATTCAAACTCGCATAGAAGAGATTCTAGTCAAAAGTGCAAATGTATCAAAATAATCAATATTTTGTTTCTGTGAAAATCATTTAGCTACTAAGCGAGCTTTGTATCTAAAAATAGAGACATCATTATTGAATTTTACTTTTGAAAATCTATTTACAACCAATTGATTTTCCACTAGGAGGTAAATCAGTTAAGATCCGTGTTTTACTTTTCATGATAGAATCAATTTCTATTTTTATTGCCTCTATCCAATATTCAGCATCAGAAGAAGATATAGCTTCAAAATAATTTGATGCTTCATTTCCATAAGAAAAATATTCTTTTCTAGGTCTTTTGCTCCTTCACAGTTCCTCATTAGAGATATTCTCGTTATTTCTTTCATGAGAAATTTTATCGGACAATGAAAAAACAAGTTCAAAGAATTCATCATTCTTTGTCTCAATAATAGTATTGCAACTAAGCACACCACTTTTAACAACAAGAAAATATGCAACACTTTTTTCAGCATATTTAATAAACATGCAATGAACAGTTTTAAAACCTACTTTCCTCTTTTTAGGTTCGGGCAAAAGAACTTTATCAAGACATCCCCACACTTTCAAATAATTCATGTTAGGTATAACCTTTTCACAATTTATAATGAGTTTTACCAGTTCTTTTATGAGGAATTATATTCTGTAAATGACATGCATATAATATAGCTTCACCCCACAAATTATCAGGAGAATTAGAACTAACTAACAAGGAGTCCATAATTTCCTTTAAAGTTCTATTTTTTCTTTCAGCTACTCAATTAGACTCGGGTGAATAAGATAGAGTTAATTCATGAATGATTTCTTCTTTTTTCACAAAAAGCAATCAAAGATACATATTCTCCACCTCTATTGGATCTTATTCTCTTGATTTTTCTCTAAGTTGATTTTAACCTCATATTTATAAGATATAAAAGCATCAAATGCATCATCTTTATTTCTAAGCAAATACAACTTAGTAAACCTAGAAGACCCATCAATAAAGGTCACATAATATCTTTTACCACATCTAGTCATAGTTTGTTTTAAATCACCCAAATCAGTGTGAATTAAAGATAATAAATCAATTTCTCTATTTATTGAAAAGCATGAATTTTGTCATTTTAGCTTCATAATAAATTTCACATTTATTAAATTTATTTGAGTCTAAACCAAATATCAAACCAAGAGATTAAAAGACTCAACCATATAGGCAGAAGTAGATTCTTTTTCATTGATAACATAAAAAACATTGAGTACAAAAAATCCCTGGTTACAATAGTCTTTTCCCACAAATACATTATTTTTTGTCAGTACGATCTTATCAGATTCAAATGACACTTTTACTCCAGCTTTATTTAGCAAGGACACATGAATCATGTAAGCTCGCATTGTCGAACATGTAACACATCTGTAAGGGCTAACATTTTTTCCAAAGTGAGCTTCAAGAACACTTTACCCTTACCAAAGACTTTAGCTGTTCTTGAGTCTCCAAGGTAGACTATTTCACTTTCATCTCCCATTGATGTATAGGAGGCAAATGCTTATCGATTTGTACAAATATGCCGAGTAGCCCCAGAGTCTACTGCCCGTTTATTTACCTGTGCTACAATGTTTACTTGAGAAATGACAGTTGCAACAATATCATTTCCTTCCGCTGAGTTAGCCTTGGGAGGATTACCATTTTCTTTATCATTTCTTATTCTTTTCCCGCATAGTGTGGCATGATGACCTGGTTTTCCACAAATAAAACAAGAAATTTTCTTTTTCTTAAAATTAGGGTTATAAGGCTTGTAACTTCGAGACTTAGCATCATACCTTTTATTATTATTGCTTTGGCTTTGCACAAGATTTGCCTTGGGAGCTATCTCCCTTGCTTTGATGGACTCTTTTCTGTTGGTATCTTCAATTAGGATATAAGTCGAAGTTTGTCTGCTTATGCTTCAAGCTTTCTTTGTAATCATCCCACAAATTCGCCAACTTCTCGATCAATACCCTCGCAACAAATTTTCTGGAAGAGAAATTCCCTCGGATTTCAAATCTTCAAGTTATTTTTTGTATTCGTTTATTTGAACTTTCATCTCCTTCTCATCATTCATCTGCCATTGATTGTATTTTCCAACTACAAACTTTTGTTTTGTAGTATATTCATCAGTGAACTTTTTAGATAAAGCTTCTCGATCAATACCCCCGCAACAAATTTTCTGGAAGTGAAATTCCCTCGGATTTCAAAATCTTCAAGTAATTTTTTATATTCGTTTGTTTGAACTTTCATCTCCTTCTCATCATTCATCTGCCATTGATTGTATTTTCCAACTACAAACTTTTGTTTTGTAGTATATTCAGCAGTGAACTTTTTGGATAAAAATTTCCAAATAGTTTTTGCTTCCTTGCAACTACAATACACATCAAATAGTTCGTTAGAAGCAATTTGTAATATAGTATGACGACATACCTTGTTCTCGTATTGCCATGATCAATTCCTATATCTTGTCATTAACATCTGCACCAAGATGTGGATCCAATAATGCATATGCAACACCATGAACATCGAGCCGTGAGAAAACACGTTCTTGCAGCAGAGGTAGTACCAATTATGATAGTATCAGAAATAGTTTCAGGATTAGTATTATTAGCCATCGTTTCTTAGATTATTTGGGAAATATGAATATTATAACAACAGTAATATAATATTTATATTTATAAATAAATACAAGCGATGCTTGAGTCGTTTAAGCACTGTTCTAAGAAACTATTTCAACTAGATGAAATATTTCTCCGAGATTAAACAGTCCTTCTCTATAAAATGAATATGAACAACAAATTTTAATTACTACAAAACCCAGCAAAACTATAAGACAAATTGTTTGGAGAGTTTTGAGGATTGCTTGGTTGTGCTCAATTCTTTCTGAAGCCTTTGACTCATGTTTATAGCAGCAGCAACTACGGTGAGGCTTTGGATACATTTGAGAGGAGCTTGTGACAACCACGTCACTTCATATGAAGGGCCATATACCATCACATGGACTTGCAAAGTCAAATATTATCCTTGGCCACTAAGTAACATATTGGCCAATAATAATAAAACAAAACTTTTAAAATACAAAATATTTTCAACAAACATAACATAAACATGTGAAATCATAATATAACTCAAAATGTTCCAAAATTTGGTGTATTGGTTACAAGCCTCTAAGGATTATGATAGATTCAAAAACAAATACAAACCCGAATGTCATTTTATCTAGAATAGAACAAGGACATAATGAAAGATCAAGTAATGTTTGTCGAGATGACAAGCAACTATGTCACAACTTTTCAATTGTAAGTCTCAGACGAAGATGTGTAGAGATGATCAAGACAATCCGGGATTTTACATACACAATATATAAAGAAATGGAGTGAGTACCAAACACCAACAGTGCTCAGGAAGTATCCCTACTAGCCCTAAGTAAAGTAATACAAAACACAAGTACTCTAAAAACTCAACCGAACCACTACAAAACTACAACCTATACAGAATCAGACCAGCCTAACCTAACCGTTCATAATTTATGAAGCACACAACACTTATAACAACACATCAACATATATAGGTCATCATCACATTGTTTCATATTCAATAAGTACAATGTCTATAACGAAACACTCTCAAAGATTACATAATGGCAATGATGTGTAATGAAATAAAGTGCAACGTCATGATAGTGTGCGTCATTACGATACACTCCCGCTATTACTAGGTTCGGACTTATGCAGGACTCACAAGGTACATGTATCCATTGGAATCATTTCTCTTCGACATACTCATCAGTTGCAAGAACAATTTCCCGTCAGTTTTGCCAAACCTATTTTCCTTCGACATTGTCGGAACCATTTCCCTTCAACATTTCCAAAACCATTTCCCTTCAATATGTTCACACAAACAATGAGAAGATGAAAATTTCCTTACCAATATAAAATCCATATCAACACAATCATGATATATCATCAATAATAAATCAATATTATTGTTCAAATAATCCACAACATATCACATATTAATATACGAACAAGTTGCTTTTCATTTCCCTTTACCATTATTATAAATCATTCAATATGTACAAGTGATCATGAATATCAAAATCTTTCACCAATTCCCATTACTCCCAGTGCACACAATAGGCATACACAATTATATATTAACATAGGTTCAAGAGGTCGATTTGCCTCAAGAAAGCAAGAAATCAACCTAGTACTTGAACCTTCCCTCTCCGATGGATCTCCAAAGCAACAAAATTTAAGTAAATATGGAATCACAATAAGAATTCAAGACCAACGAAATGCATATCAATGATTTTTTGAAATTCGGGTCCAAATGACCCAAAAATCCATTTTCGAGAACTAGGATCAAATCTACACTTTATTAATAAAATCATGGTATAGAAGGGTTATGGAGTTCAGTAGTGAAAATCACATAAAAAAATAAGTTGAAATTAATCTTAAATCACCTTTTTCTTAAACATTATGTTCTTGTGAAAACCCCAAAGTTTGTGTTCAAAAACAATAATTAATTAGGAAAAACATCATACAATTGGTGGGTTATAGAGATGGGGAGGTGAAAATCATTACCCAATCGAGGAATCTTGAAAAACAACTTTCAAATTGCCTCTACCGAGATCCTAACATTGAAAATGATGAAACGAGGAGAAAACCCCAATTTTTTGGAAAAGATTCTGTGTCAGTAAAATTTGCTCATTGCGATCGTGACTCCAAGTCCATGCGATCGTGATAAATAAGCAATCAACACATATAAATTGACCAACATGATTGCGACACAGGGCCACACAATTGTGACATCCTTCATGCGATCACGAAGCCCAAGATAAAATACTTACGTGATCGCGACCAAGAGCCATGAGATCACGACACATGACAAAGAAACATCTTTCGGTATGAAAAAAGTCACAAATTCACAAAAAACAACCAAATCCATCTCAATTCCATTCTTATACACAAATAATATCAAAACACATGTCCCAAAAAATGACTGGAAATACAAAGCACATACTACAAGTAGTGATTGGGATCTTCAATTTCAATCCCAAGCTCTCGTTATGGTTGCACAAAAAATAGGGACAAGATTTTCTCACCATAAGTTGCTAGGATAAGAGTTGAATATGATAATGAAAGCTTAAGTATTATTGATACAATGTATGATATTTATACATGTACAAATATAGATGAGAAACGAGTTTGTTGTACATAAGAGACCTAAAGAGAAGAGGAAATAGCTACGTATAACTCAAACATACTAACGTACTAGGACTCTATATCCTTATCCTTATCATGCCCCCTCAACATTGACTCAATTTGCTTGAGACCAATGTTGCTAACAAAGTTAACAAAGGACCTTGGGGGAAGTGCTTTAGTTAATGCATCTGCTAGTTGAGCTCCAGTTGGAATGTGATGAACTGAAATTTGTCTACTTTCCACTTGGTCACGGACAAATGAAAGTCGATTGCAACATGTTTCATTCGACTGTGAGAAACTGGACTGCGACACAGGTAAGTGACACCAATGTTATTGCAAAAAACCTCAAAAGAACAAGACAACTTGAGCCGGAGTTCTTGGAGCAGGTTGGTTAACCAGTTCAACTCAGCTACAATACTTGTTACAAGCCTGTATTCTGCGTCTGTGGAAGATCTGGCAATAGTGAGTTGCTTGTTGGAGAACCAAGTAATTGGATTCTTTCCAAGAAAAATAACATAAGCATGTCTAGTGTTGGGAATACCACCCCAATTTGCATCTGAGTATGCCAGTAACTGAGAAGAGTTTTCATGTTTGAAGTGAAGTCCATAGTTATTGTTCCTTCCAAATAACGTAGAATCCTCTTTGTTTCTTGCCAATTTTTAGGATATGACGAGTGTTGGAATTGGGCGAGTTGTTTACTTCAGAACATATATCAGGACTCGTGAAGTTGAGGTAATACAATGAGCCAATGACCTGCCTATAAATTGTAGCGTCTGTTGGAGGAGAACCGTCATCCAAGGATAAAACATCACTTGTTGATAGAGGAGTGCTCACACTGTTTGCATCCAGCATGTTGAACTTGCGGAATATATCTGCAATGAAGCTACTCTTTGTGAGAGTCAATCCATGGGCATGTTGTATAATTTCAACACCTAGAAAAAAATATAAAGGACCAAGGTCTTTATCGAAAATCTATTTCCCAATTTTTTAATTTTTTCCTGGACGTGGGAGTTGTTAGAACCTGTATCAACAATGTCATCAACATAGATCACAATAATAATGAGAGAATTAGGAGACCACTTGATAATTAAAGAATCATTAGATTTTGAACTAGCAAAGCCACATGATAAGAGAAACTCCTTGATTTTAGTGTACCATACTCCTGGTGCTTTGCGAAGTCCATATATAGATTTGTGTTGTTTACACACATGATTTGGAAATCGGGAATCCACTAAGACAAGTGGTTGTTGCATGATTACAATATCATGAAGAGTACCTTGTAAAAAGGCATTGTTTACATCAAGTTGACGCAATGTCCATTTAAGAGACAAGGCTAGGACAAGATGAGGCGAATGGTTGTCGTTTTAATAACTAGACTGAAGGTGGAATGAAAGTCAATTTCAGGAAACTGATGAAATCCTTTTGCCACTAATCTAGCTTTGTAATGCTCTATGGATCCATCAGGTTTGTGTTTGACACAAAACACCCATTTACATCCAAGTACGTTTTGAGAGGGAGTTGATGGAACCAATGACCAAGTTTTATTTTTAAGTAAGGCCATTTTCTTTTCTGCCATTGCAGCCTGCCATTCAGGATATTTGGATGCTTGACTGAATGTATTTGGGGTAAGCTAAGGGTGCTTTACTGTTGAGGTTGCAAGGTAATCAAAAACCACTTTGGGTTTTAAAATATTATTTCGAGACCTGGTTACCATTCAATTTAATGGTGTTGCTGGAGTTGGTTGATGCATATGGAATGCTATTTTGAGAAGGAAAAGACGACAAAATGAGTAGGAGGACTAATAATTGAGCCAGTTGGCACGTCATCCAGATGGTCTTGAGGATGTGATCTATGAGGAGACGTGGAGTTGACCAAATCAGTAGTAGTAGGAGTTGGAATAGGGTTTGCAACAATAGGTGAAACAGGTTGTGAGGAAGAGGAAAAACCAGAGGGGTCAGCTAGGCACAACCATTTTTTTTTCATGTGTGAGACCTGTGGACAGGATAGTTGAGGTTAGTTGGTTGTGAATGGAAAGATATGTTCAACGAATACAAAATGCCTAGAGATATATCCCATAAACAAAGTCTAGGAAAGTATAACTATTTGTGGTAGAGGAATATTCCATAAATACACAAGGATTGGACTTGGAATCAAGTTTGGTTGATGTGTAGATCTTTAACCATGGATAACAAAGAAAACCAAAGACCCTTAGCTTAATAGGGTTTAGAGTGGTATTAAAGGGACACTTGAATGGAGATTTAAGACCAAGAAAAGGTGTGGTCCACCTTTTAATGAGGTTGATCGCAGATTGGAATGCGAGAGACCAAAATTTGAGAGGGACAGAAGCATGGTGGAGAATAGTTAAAACAGTGTCTACAACGTGGCGATGTTTTCTTTCGATAGTGTCAACTAGTTGGGGAGTGTATGGAGAACTTATGAGATGTTGGATCCCAAAGCTCAAGAGAGTGGATTTAAGGCCAATGTATTCACCTCCCTTATTAGTATACAATATTTTAATTCTCAGTTGAAATTGATTTTGAACCATTAGTACAAAACTATTGAAAATTTTCTTCAAATCTGATTTGGATTTTGAAGGAAACAACCAAGTATATTTCATGAAATGATCAACAAAAATAACATGGAATATGAAATTATCAAAAGAGATACTTTGAGAAGGACCCCAAAAATTTGAGAAAATAATATCAAAAGGCCTAGAACTTGTAATTGAATTGTCACCAAACGGTACACGATGACTCTTATTGCATAAACGCGAATTACATAATGTAAATGACTCGACATGGTTCACTGGTAGGTTAAAATAACAGACACAAGCTTTGGTGAAATGAGGCTGAGGATGGAAAAGACGAGCATGTCATAGATGCAATGATGGAGATATTAATGCAACAAAATGTTCTTGAGGATAAGGTGTGACTAATTTGGTAATGTCCGCAGGCCACTCATAGAGATCACCATTACTCTTGCCTTGAAGAAGACATGCCCTTATGCTCAAATCTTACACAACAAAAGAATAAGGAAAAAATTCAATAGAAGTTAGATTTTGTCTACAAAATTGAGCAAAAAAAATCAACTTCTTTTTTATAAATGGTGAGAAAAGAACATATTTTAAAAGAAATTCAGTCGTAAGACTAGAAGAAGATAAAGTAGTGTGACCAATATGAGTAATATGAATTCGTTTACCATCACCAATAATTATTGAATCCGTTCCAGAGAACTTAGTTGGAGTCTAGAGAGACTAAGAGTTGTTTGTAATGTGATGGGAGTCTCTAAAATCAATATCCCAAGGGCTTGGGGAATTAGAAGTGTAAGAGTGACATTTGACAAAATTAGCATATTTAACATTGTGTAATTTGGACATACAAACTTTTGCAATATGACCAAACTTATCACAAAGTTGACATTGAACACGCTGCTTGTTGCTTCTGGTGGTGTTCTTCTGGGTGAAGAAATTGTTATTTGGGGAAGAAGATTGATTATGAAAGTTGAAGAAACCAGATGGAGTAGTATACTTACAATTGGATGAGTTAGGTTGACTATTTTTGGGACCATTGTTGGTGGAATGTTGATGAAATTGAGCAGTGATTATTGGTGTTTAGACTTTAGGTCTGAGTGCTTGATGAACATCTCTTGTTCAAGAAGTTTATCAAAGAGTTCTTCGAAAGTAATAGGATTATCAAGAGCTCTTATTGTTGCATATAACTCCTTGTACTCGGCACCTAAACCACTCAACACCTTAATAACAACTTCATCACTATTAACGGGTGAACCAATACAAGCCAAATCATCTGCAATGGACTTGATTTCTCTCATATAATCATTGATTGAACGTGCATCTCGTTTGACATTTGCCAGAGTATGCGCAAACTGAAAATTTTTGAGTGCGATTTGCTGGCATAATTTGTTTGGAGAATATCCCAAGCTTCTTTGGATGTGGAAGCATGGGAAATGAGGGGAGTGATTGTAGCATCAACTGATGCCATAGTAAAATTGCGAACAAGACTGTCTTGTTGCTGCACAATCTAAAGTTGGGGTTAAGAATTTGGTTATTGTCTTTGTCTAGAGACTGCACATTTGGCAGTGGAAGCATGGGAATGAGGGGAGCGATGGTAGTGTCAACTGATACCATAATAGCATTGTGAACAATACTGTCTTGTCGCTGCCACCATCTCAAGTTGGGTTTGGGAATTTGGTTATTGTCTTTTCAAGAGACTGCACATTTGGTATGGGAAGTGAGCTATCAACAAAGGTAAGAAGATCATAACCATACAATAGTGTGGTAACTTGAGATTTTCAAGCTGGATAATTTATACTTCCTGATAATCTGAAAAAGTTGGGATGCAGGGTTAAAAGATATCAATTGAGAGGGCTAAACGACATCCCCTTGATTAAGAGTGACTGTTGGAGAGTTAGGGATCAATTGAGAGGGCTAAACAATACCCCCTTAATTTTGAGTGACCGTTGGAGAGCTAGGGACTAGGAAGAGGAAGTATCAGATATTTTTGAACAAGAAGGAAGTGTCGGAATGCTGGAAAAAAAAAGGGATCACCATATACTCGTTAGAGTATTTAGT